GATCACGGGTCTATCACCCTATTAACCAGTCACGGGAGATTTCCATGCATTTGGTATCTTTTATCTCTGGTCTGCACGCAACCCCATTGCAGAATGCTGACTCCCACCACATCCCGTCCTGTATGCGCCTGTCTTTGATTCCTAGTACATGCAGTTGTTGATCGCACCTACGTTCAATATTCTAGCTCCACGCAAACCTTAGCAAGGTGTTATTTAATTCATGCTTGTAGGACATACCAATAATCATCCCAGCCGACACCACACCACACCACCAATCACTAACCGTATCTTATCAAACCCCCCCACCCCCATCTCCGACCTTCATCCAAACCCCACTCTTGCCAAACCCCAAAAACAAAAGTCTTAACATATCCGATCAGAGCCTATATTTCCATCTTTTAGGTGTGCACAACTCCAACTGCCACTCCCTCAACTAATAAACATTTACTTCACTAAACACCCTCTACACCAACCCGCAACAAATCCTTCTCATACAACCCGAAAGAGGCTGCCTCACAACTATACTAGCACCTTTGTTTATGTAGCTTAAACCCACCCAAAGCAAGACACTGAAAATGCCTAGATGGGTTTGCACACCCCATAAACATATAGGCTTGGTCCTGGCCTTTCTATTAGCTCTTGGCAGGATTACACATGCAAACATCCTCGCTCCGGTGAAGACGCCCTACAAATCATCATGACCAAGAGGAGCAAGCATCAAGCACGCGCACGCAGCTCAAAACGCTTTGCCTAGCCACACCCCCACGGGAGACAGCAGTGACAAATATTTAGCAATAAACGAAAGTTCAACTAAGCCATGCTATATTTAGGGTTGGTCAATTTCGTGCCAGCCACCGCGGTTACACGATTAACCCTAGCTAATAGAGACCGGCGTAGAGGGTGTTTAAGATCTGATATAATAAAGCTAAACTCCATCTAAACTGTAAAACTCTAGCTGATGTAAAATAAACTACGAAAGTGGCTTTAAAGCTTCTGAACACACAATAGCCAGGACCCAAACTGGGATTAGACACCCTACTATGCTTGGCCCTAAACCTCAGTAGTTAGATAACAAAACTACTCGCCAGAATACTACAAGCTATAGCTTAAAACTCAAAGGACTTGACGGTGCTTTACACCCCCTAGAGGAGCCTGTTCCGTAATCGATAAACCCCGATCCACCCCACCCTCTCTTGCTCAGCCTATATACCGCCATCTTCAGCAAACCCTAATGAGGGTCACAAAGTGAGCGCAAATGCCATTGCCGCAAACACGTTAGGTCAAGGTGTAGCCTATGAGACGGTAAAAAATGGGCTACATTTTCTACCTCAGAAAATTCCACGAAAACCCTTATGAAATTTAAGGGTCCAAGGAGGATTTAGCAGTAAATTAAGAATAGAGTGCTTAATTGAACCAGGCCATAAAGCGCGCACACACCGCCCGTCACTCCTCTCAAATATATTTAAGGAACATCTTAACTAAACGCCCTAATATTTATATAGAGAGGATAAGTCGTAACATGGTAAGCGTACTGGAAGGTGCGCTTGGATAAATCAAGGCATAGCTTAATATAAAGCACCTGGCCTACACCCAGAAAATCTCAATACCACTTGATTGCCTTGAGCCAATACTAGCCCTAAGCATAACCAACACTAATACCAAACTAACACGCACTAAACCATTCACCTACACAAAGTATAGGCGATAGAAATTTTAATCTGGCGCTATAGACGCAGTACCGTAAGGGAAAGATGAAACCACCCAAGCACAAAACAGCAAGGACTAACCCCTGTACCTTTCGCATAATGAATTAGCTAGAAACAATTTCACAAAGAGAACTACAAGCCAAATTCCCCGAAACCAGACGAGCTACCCAAAAACAGCTAAAAGAGCGCACCCATCTATGTGGCAAAATAGTGGGAAGATTTCTGGGTAGAGGTGACAAGCCTACCGAGCCTGGTGATAGCTGGTTATCCAAGACAGAATCTTAGTTCGACCTTAAGCTTACCTATAGAACCACCTAATCTCCCTGTAAGCTTAATTGCTAGTCTAAAGAGGGACAGCTCTTTAGACACTAGGAAAAAACCTTATAGAGAGAGTAAAATCCTCAATTACCATAGTTGGCTTAAAAGCAGCCATCAATTAAGAAAGCGTTCAAGCTCAACACTAACCACCCCAAAAATACCAAACACATAGCTGAACTCCTCACACCACATTGGATTAATCTATCACCATATAGAAGCAATAATGCTAGTATAAGTAACATGAATATTTTCTCCACTGCATAAGCCCAAATCGGATCGAAAACCTCACCGATACCTAACAGCCAGGCATAGCAAGCACAAACAAGCCCATGCTACCTTCACTGTTAACCCAACACAGGCATGCCTCAAGGAAAGGTTAAAAAAAGTAAAAGGAACTCGGCAAACCTAAACCCCGCCTGTTTACCAAAAACATCACCTCTAGCATTACTAGTATTAGAGGCACTGCCTGCCCAGTGACACACGTTTAACGGCCGCGGTACCCTGACCGTGCAAAGGTAGCATAATCACTTGTTCTTTAAATGGGGACTCGCATGAAAGGCACCACGAGGGTTTAACTGTCTCTTACTTTTAACCAGTGAAATTGACCTGCCCGCGAAGAGGCGGACATAGTATAATAAGACGAGAAGACCCTATGGAGCTTTAATCTATTAATGCAATCAAAAATTACACAAACCCACGGACCTTTAAACTATCGACACCTGCATTAAAAATTTTGGTTGGGGCGACCTCGGAGCACAACAAAACCTCCGAATAACACATGCTAAGACCACACAAGTCAAAGCGAACTAACACTTATAATTGATCCAATAACTTGATCAACGGAACAAGTTACCCTAGGGATAACAGCGCAATTCTATTCTAGAGTCCATATCGACAATAGAGCTTACGACCTCGATGTTGGATCAGGACATCCTAATGGTGCAGCAGCTATCAAGGGTTCGTTTGTTCAACGATTAAAGTCCTACGTGATCTGAGTTCAGACCGGAGCAATCCAGGTCGGTTTCTATCTATTGCACATTTCTCCCTGTACGAAAGGACAAGAGAAATAAGGCCCACTTCACAAAGCGCCTTCACTACATAAATGACCTAGTCTTAATTTAGCAAAATACCACACATTCCACCCGAAAACAGGGTTTGTTAAGATGGCAGAGCCCGGTAATTGCATAAAACTTAAAACTTTGTAACCAGAGGTTCAATTCCTCTTCTTAACACCATGACCACAGTAAATCTCCTACTTATAATCATACCCACATTAGCCGCCATAGCATTTCTCACACTCGTTGAACGAAAATTACTAGGCCACATGCAACTACGAAAAGGGCCCAATATTGTAGGTCCATGCGGACTATTACAACCCTTCGCCGATGCCGTAAAACTTTTCACTAAAGAACCCCTGAAACCCGCAACATCTACCACCATCCTCTATGTCGTCGCACCTGCTCTAGCCTTCTTCATTGCCCTCCTCCTATGAACCCCCCTCCCCATACCCAACGCTCTAATCAACTTCAACCTAGGGCTCCTATTCATCCTAGCCATACTCAGCCTAATTGTCTACTCCATCCTATGATCAGGATGAGCATCAAACTCAAACTACGCCCTAATCGGAGCTCTGCGAGCCGTCGCCCAAACAATTTCATATGAAGTCACCCTTACTATTATCCTCCTATCAGTCCTACTAATAAGCGGCTCATTTAACCTTAACACACTCATTACAACGCAAGAGCATCTATGACTCCTCCTACCATCATGACCCCTAGCCATAATATGATTTACCTCCACACTAGCAGAAACAAACCGAACCCCTTTTGATCTCATAGAGGGCGAATCAGAATTAGTATCAGGCTTCAACATTGAATACGCCGCAGGTCCATTCGCCCTATTCTTCATAGCCGAATACACAAACATCATCATAATAAACGCCCTAACAACCACAATCTTCCTAGGCACATCCCACTCCACTTATTCACCAGAACTATTCACAACATGCTTCGCCACCAAAACACTCTTCCTAACCTCCCTATTCCTATGAATCCGGGCAGCATACCCCCGATTCCGTTACGACCAACTTATACACCTACTATGAAAAAACTTCCTCCCCCTCACACTAGCACTACTCATATGATCCACCTCAATACCCATCGCAATCTCCAGCATTCCCCCTCAAACCTAGAAATATGTCTGACAAAAGAGTTACTTTGATGGAGTAAATAATAGAGGCCCCAATCCTCTTGTTTCTAGGACTGTAGGTATCGAACCTACCCCTGAGAATCCAAACTTCTCCGTGCTACCCTACACACTCTATCCTAAAGTAAGGTCAGCTAAACAAGCTATCGGGCCCATACCCCGAAAATGTTGGTCACATCCTTCCCGTACTAATTAACCCACTAGCTCAACCCATTATCTACACCACAATAATCACAGGCACACTTATCACAACACTAAGCTCACACTGATTTCTCGCCTGAACAGGCCTAGAAATAAACATACTAGCTTTCATTCCGATCTTAATAAAAAAAACAAGCCTCCGCTCCACAGAAGCCGCTACTAAATACTTCCTAATTCAATCTACCGCATCTATAGTCCTCATAATAGCAATCATCTCCAACAACCTGCTATCAGGGTGCTGAACAACAACGAACTACATCAGCCAACCCCCATCCCTAATAATAACAACCGCCCTCGCCATAAAACTAGGAATAGCCCCCTTCCACTTCTGAGTCCCAGAAGTCACCCAAGGAACACCCCTAACCTCAGGTCTACTCCTTCTTACATGACAAAAACTAGCCCCCATCTCAATCATGTACCAAATTCACCCATCAATCAACACCCACATCCTCCTAACCCTCTCCACCCTATCCATTGCAGTAGGCAGTTGAGGAGGTCTAAACCAAACACAATTACGCAAGATCCTAGGGTACTCTTCAATCACACACATGGGTTGAATAATGATAACACTTGTATACAACCCAGCAACTACAATTTTCTATTTAACTACATACATTATCCTAACAACTACCATATTCCTAACCCTCAACTTAAGCTCAAGCACCACAACCCTCATACTATCCCGCACCTGAAACAAATCAACCCACCTAGCACCGCTAATAGCACCCATTCTCATATCTCTAGGAGGCCTACCACCCCTAACCGGCTTCCTACCTAAATGAATTATCATCCAAGAACTCACAATGAACAACAACTTCCTCATCCCCTCTATTATAACTATCATAACCCTACTTAACCTATACTTTTATATACGCCTAATCTACACCACCTCCCTAACGCTATTCCCTACATCCAACAACACAAAAATAACATGACAACTCGAAAATACAAAACCCACACTCCTTATCCCCCCACTCATCATCACCTCCACCCTTCTACTACCAATCTCCCCCCTACTCTTAACCCTTCACTAGAAATTTAGGTTAAACAAGACCAAGAGCCTTCAAAGCCCTTAGTAAGTAAAAACACTTAATTTCTGAAACACATAAGGACTGCAAACACCTACTCTGCATCAATTGAACGCAAATCAACCACTTTAATTAAGCTAAGCCCTTACTAGATCAATGGGACTCGAACCCACAAAAACTTAGTTAACAGCTAAGCACCCTAACCGACTGGCTTTGACCCACTTCTCCCGCCGCAGGGAGAAAAAGGCGGGAGAAGCCCCGGCAGAAACTCTAAGACTGCTCCTTTGAACTTGCAATTCAACATGAAAATCACCTCGGGGCTGGTAAAAGGGGGACTAAACCCCCGTCTTTAGGTTTACAGCCTAATACTTACTCAGCCATTTTACCACTTATGCTCATTAATCGCTGACTCTTTTCAACAAATCACAAAGACATTGGAACCCTGTATTTACTATTTGGTGCATGAGCTGGAATCATAGGCACTGCCCTAAGCCTCCTCATTCGAGCTGAACTAGGCCAACCCGGCAACCTACTAGGCAACGACCACATCTATAACGTTATTGTAACGGCCCATGCATTTGTCATAATTTTCTTTACAGTCATACCCATTATAATTGGAGGGTTCGGGAACTGACTAGTACCCCTAATAATCGGCGCCCCCGACATAGCATTCCCCCGTCTAAACAATATGAGCTTCTGACTCCTCCCCCCTTCTTTCCTGCTACTAATAGCATCCGCCGTGGTAGAAGCTGGCGCCGGAACAGGCTGAACAGTATACCCCCCTCTAGCAGGAAACTTCTCCCACCCAGGAGCTTCTGTAGATTTAGTCATCTTCTCTCTTCACCTAGCAGGTATTTCCTCTATCTTAGGAGCCATCAACTTCATTACCACCATTATCAACATAAAACCCCCCGCAGTATCCCAATACCAAACCCCTTTATTTGTCTGATCAATCTTAATCACAGCAATCCTTCTACTCCTCTCTCTACCAGTTCTAGCCGCCGGCATTACCATGCTACTAACAGATCGCAACCTCAATACTACTTTCTTTGACCCTGTTGGAGGAGGAGACCCTATCCTATATCAACACCTATTCTGATTCTTTGGTCACCCGGAAGTCTACATCCTTATTCTCCCCGGCTTCGGAATAGTCTCCCACATTGTAACCTACTACTCTGGGAAAAAAGAACCATTTGGGTACATGGGTATAGTTTGAGCCATAATATCAATTGGGTTTTTAGGTTTTATTGTATGAGCCCACCACATGTTTACAGTTGGCATAGACGTAGATACACGAGCCTATTTCACCTCCGCCACTATAATCATTGCAATCCCCACCGGTGTGAAAGTTTTTAGCTGGCTTGCTACACTTCATGGGGGCAACATCAAATGGTCCCCAGCAATACTTTGAGCCCTAGGCTTTATCTTCCTATTTACTGTAGGGGGTCTAACTGGCATCATCTTAGCAAACTCATCCCTAGATATCGTACTACACGATACATACTACGTTGTCGCCCACTTTCATTATGTTCTATCAATAGGAGCTGTATTCGCCATTATGGGGGGCTTTATACACTGATTCCCTTTATTCTCAGGCTACACACTGAACCAAACCTGTGCCAAAGCCCACTTCATCATTATATTCATGGGCGTAAATTTAACCTTCTTTCCACAACACTTCCTTGGCCTGTCCGGAATACCCCGACGCTACTCTGATTATCCCGATGCCTACACTACATGAAATACCCTATCATCTATAGGCTCCTTCATCTCACTAGTAGCAGTAATTTTAATAATCTACATGATCTGAGAAGCCTTTGCTTCAAAACGTAAAGTACTACTAATCGAACAACCCCTTACTAACCTAGAGTGACTAAATGGCTGCCCCCCGCCTTATCACACATTCGAAGAACCACCCTACATTAAACTAGTCGAAAAAGGAGGGAGTCGAACCCCCTAAAACTGGTTTCAAGCCAATCTTATAGCCCCTATAACTTTTTCGGCAAGGTATTAGAAAAGTCATTTCGTAGCTTTGTCAAAGCTAAATCATAGGCCAAACCCTATATATCTTACATGGCCCACCCAGTTCAACTAAGCCTACAAGACGCCACATCCCCTGTTATAGAGGAATTAATTACTTTCCATGACCATGCTTTTATAGCCATATCTCTAATCAGCTTCCTGGTATTATATGCCCTGCTCTCAACACTCACAACAAAACTAACCAATACTAGCATCACAGATGCCCAAGAAATAGAAACTATCTGAACTATCTTACCCGCAATTATCTTAATCCTAATTGCTCTCCCATCTCTACGTATCCTATACCTAACAGATGAAGTCAATGACCCATCCTTCACCATCAAATCAATCGGACACCAGTGATATTGAACCTACGAATACACGGACTACGGGAGCCTAATTTTCAACTCCTACATACTACCTCCATTATTCCTAAACCCAGGGGACCTCCGACTCCTAGAAGTTGACAATCGGGTAGTCCTTCCAATTGAAGCTCCTGTACGTATAATAATTACATCTCAAGACGTCCTACACTCATGAACTATCCCCACACTAGGCCTAAAAACAGACGCCGTACCTGGGCGTCTAAATCAAACCGTTTTCACGGCTACACGACCAGGCGTCTATTACGGACAATGCTCAGAAATCTGTGGCGCAAATCATAGCTTCATACCAATTGTTGCAGAGCTAATCCCACTAAAAATCTTTGAAATAGGACCTGTATTTACTCTGTAAACAACCCTGCCCACTCTCTTTTTTCCCCCAACACCCCTCTCCCACCCCATAAACCCTCAAAACACTCTACAAACTCACTGTATAGCTATCTTAGCATTAACCTTTTAAGTTAAAGACGGGGGACACACCCCCTACAGTGAAATGCCCCAGTTAGATACATCAACATGATTCACCACTATTATGACGATGCTTCCCACACTATATCTTATCATGCAGCTAAAGCTACTAAACACAAATCACCACCAACCACCCCTTACAAAAACCCCCACCCTTCAGTCTCACAATGTCCGCTGACAACCAAAATGAACGAAAACTTGTTTACCCCTTTCTCAGCCCCAACAATTCTAAACCAACCCGCTACAATCCCCATTATCCTATTCCCCACCCTACTAATCTTAACCCCCAAACATCCCATTAATAATCGACTAGCTACCATTCAACAAAATCTGACTCGATTCACTCTAAAACAAATAATAATAACTCACAACGCTAAGGGACAAACCTGATCCTTAATACTAACATCCCTAATCACCTTTACTGCTACAACAAACCTCCTAGGACTTATGCCTTACTCGTTCACGCCAACTACCCAACTTTCCATAAACCTAGCTATAGCAATCCCCCTATGAGCGGGCACAGTAATAGTGGGGCTTCGCTTTAAAACCAAAAACTCCCTAGCCCACCTCCTACCACAAGGCACACCCACACCTCTCATTCCTATGCTAGTAGCAATCGAAACTATCAGTCTACTTATTCAACCAGTGGCTCTAGCCGTACGATTAACCGCAAACATCACAGCCGGCCATCTGCTAATACACCTGATCGGAAACACTGTACTAGCACTATCAACCACCAACCTCTCCATAGCTCTACTAGCCTCTACACTTCTGGTATTACTAACTATTCTAGAAATTGCAGTAGCCCTAATTCAAGCCTATGTCTTCACACTCTTAATTAGCCTTTATCTACGGAACAACACCTAATGACCCACCAGACCCACGCTTATCACATAGTTAAACCCAGTCCCTGGCCGCTGACAGGAGCTCTGTCAGCCTTCTTAATAACATCTGGCTTAGTCATGTGATTTCACTTCTACTCCACCACCCTACTAATACTAGGCCTACTAACCAATACACTAACCTTATACCAATGATGACGCGACATTGTACGAGAAAGCACATACCAAGGCCACCACACAACACCCGTCCAAAAAAGCCTTCGGTACGGAATAACACTATTCATCATCTCAGAAGCATTCTTCTTTGTCGGCTTCTTCTGAGCATTTTACCACTCAAGCCTTGCTCCAACACCCTGCTTAGGAGGCCATTGACCACCAACAGGCATCACCCCTCTAAACCCCATAGAAGTACCCCTCCTAAACACCTCTGTATTACTTGCATCCGGAGTTACAATTACCTGAGCTCATCACAGTCTCATAAACAACGATCGAAAACAAACAATCCAAGCCCTACTCATCACAATCCTACTCGGCACCTATTTCACCCTACTACAAATCTCAGAATACTTTGAAGCACCCTTCACCATCTCCGATGGCATCTACGGTTCAACATTCTTCATTACCACAGGCTTCCATGGACTCCACGTTATTATTGGATCCACATTCCTCTTTGTCTGCCTCATCCGCCAACTACTACACCACTTCACATCGAACCATCACTTCGGCTTCGAAGCCGCCGCTTGATATTGACACTTCGTGGATGTTATCTGACTACTCCTCTATATTTCTGTCTATTGATGAGGATCCTACTCTTTTAGTATAACAAGTACAATTGACTTCCAATCAATCAGTTTTGACAACATTCAAAAAAGAGTAATTAATCTAGTGCTAGCCCTAACAATCAACACCCTATTAACCTCGCTACTGATAATTATCATATTCTGACTACCCCAGCTCAACCCCTATACAGAAAAAACCAGCCCCTACGAGTGCGGATTTGACCCCCTAAACCCTGCTCGCATCCCATTCTCAATAAAATTCTTCCTAGTTGCCATTACTTTCCTGCTATTTGACCTAGAAATCGCCCTACTACTATCTCTACCGTGAGCCATTCAAACAACAAACCTCCCAATAATAATCAAATCGACCATTGCCTTTATTATTATCCTAATTCTCAGTTTAACCTATGAATGAACCCAAAAAGGGTTAGACTGGGCCGAATTGGTAAGTAGTTTAAATAAAATAAATGATTTCGACTCATTAGATTATGATAACCATACTAACCAAATGACCCTTACCTATATAAACATTATACTAGCATTCGCTATCTCTCTTCTAGGTATACTAACCTACCGCTCACACCTAGTAGCCTCTCTCCTCTGCCTAGAGGGAATAATAATATCGCTCTTTATTATGGCCACCCTTATTGCCTCAAACACACACTTCCCCCTAATCAACATTATACCCATCATTTTGTTAGTATTTGCCGCCTGTGAAACAGCAGTAGGTCTTGCCCTACTAATCTCAATCTCCAACACATACGGACTAGACTACGTCCACAACCTAAACCTGCTTCAATGCTAAAAATAATTATTCCCACAACCATACTACTACCCATAACATGACTCTCTAAAAATAATACAATTTGAATCAACTTGACCATGCATAGCTTAACTATCAGCCTCATCCCCTTACTATTCTTCAACCAAACCAGCACCAACCTCCTCAATCACTCAACCTATCTATCTTCTGACCCACTAGCAGCACCCCTCCTAACACTAACTATCTGACTTCTACCCCTCATGATTATAGCGAGCCAGTATCACCTATATAACGAACCCCCCTCACAAAAAAAACTTTTCCTCTTCACAATAATTCTCCTACAAATCACCCTAATTCTGACATTCATGGCCACAGAGCTAATTATATTCTACATTCTATTTGAAACCACCCTAATTCCCACCCTAATTATCATTACTAAATGGGGCAACCAAGCAAAACGCCTCAACGCAAGTACCTACTTTCTATTCTATACACTAACCGGCTCTCTACCCCTACTCATCATACTAAGCCACACCTACAACAACACAGGCTCATTAAATATTACATTACTAACACTCACAGACCAAAAACTAACAACCACCTGATCTCACAACTTTACCTGACTAGCATGCATAATAGCCTTTATGACAAAAATACCCCTATATGGCCTACACCTGTGACTTCCTAAAGCCCATGTCGAAGCCCCCATTGCAGGATCAATAGTCCTTGCCGCAGTACTCCTAAAACTAGGTGGCTACGGCATAATACGACTTACTCCCATCCTTAACCCCTTAACAGAATACATAGCTTACCCATTCCTCATATTATCCTTATGGGGTATAATCATAACAGGCCTAACATGCCTCCGACAAACAGATCTAAAATCACTTATCGCATACTCTTCTGTAAGCCACATGGCCCTTGTAATTGTAGCCTCTCTCATCCAAACCCCCTGAAGCTTTTCCGGCGCAACCATCCTTATAATCGCTCACGGACTCACCTCTTCCATGTACTTCTGCCTAGCCAATTCAAACTATGAACGCACCCACAGCCGTACCATACTACTGTCCCGAGGACTTCAAATCCTACTCCCACTAACAGCCTTCTGATGATTAACAGCAAGCCTTACTAACCTTGCCCTGCCCCCCACTATCAACCTACTAGGCGAACTCTTTGTAATCACGACCTCATTTTCCTGATCCCATATCACCATTATGTTGACAGGGCTTAATATACTAATTACGGCCCTCTACTCTCTCCACATATTCATTACAACGCAACGAGGAATACTTACACACCATATAATCAACATAAAACCCTCCTTCACACGAGAAAATATATTAATATTCATACACCTCGCCCCAATTATCCTTCTGTCTCTCAATCCCAACATCATCCTAGGATTTACCTCCTGTAGATATAGTTTAACTAAAACATTAGATTGTGAATCTAACCACAGAGACTTACCACCTCTTATTTACCGAGAAAACTCACAAGGATTGCTAACCCATGTACCCGTACCTAAAATTACGGTTTTCTCAACTTTTAAAGGATAACAGCTATCCATTGACCTTAGGAGTCAAAAACATTGGTGCAACTCCAAATAAAAGTAATAACCATGCACACCCCCATCATAATAACAACCCTTATCTCCCTAACCCTCCCAATTTTTGCCACCCTCATCAACCCTTACAAAAAACGTCCATACCCAGATTACGTAAAAACAACCGTAATATATGCTTTCACCATCAGCCTCCCCTCAACAACCTTATTCATCTTCTCGAACCAAGAAACAACCATTTGGAGCTGACATTGAATAATAGCCCAAACATTAGACCTAACACTAAGCTTCAAACTAGATTACTTCTCCATGATATTTATTCCAATCGCACTATTCATCACCTGGTCCATCATAGAATTCTCGCTATGATACATAAACTCAGACCCAAACATCAACCAATTCTTCAAATATCTTCTTATTTTCCTCACTGCCATACTAATTCTAGTCACTGCTAACAACCTCTTCCAATTCCTTATCGGCTGAGAGGGCGTAGGAATCATATCTTTTCTCCTAATTAGCTGATGATACGCTCGAACAGACGCCAACACAGCAGCCATCCAAGCAATCTTATATAATCGCATTGGCGACATTGGTCTTATCCTAGCCATAGCATGATTTCTCCTACATTACAACTCATGAGACCTCCAACAAATACTAGCCCTAAATTTCAACTCAAGCTCCCTCCCACTAATAGGCCTCCTCCTAGCAGCAGCAGGAAAATCAGCTCAATTCGGTCTTCACCCCTGACTACCCTCTGCCATAGAAGGCCCAACTCCAGTCTCAGCCCTACTTCACTCCAGTACCATAGTCATTGCCGGAGTGTTCTTACTCATCCGCTTCCACCCTCTAATAGAAACCAACACAATAATTCAAAATCTTACATTATGCCTGGGGGCTATTACTACCCTATTTACAGCCATCTGCGCCCTTACACAAAACGACATTAAAAAGATTGTAGCCTTCTCCACCTCAAGCCAACTAGGCCTAATAATAATCACCATCGGCATCAACCAACCATACTTAGCATTCCTACACATCTGCACCCATGCTTTCTTTAAAGCCATACTTTTTATATGCTCCGGATCCATTATCCATAACCTAAACAACGAACAAGACATTCGAAAAATAGGAGGCCTATTCAAAACAATACCCCTCACCTCAACTTCCATAATCATTGGCAACCTAGCACTCACAGGAATACCCTTCCTCACAGGCTTCTACTCCAAAGACCTTATTATCGAAGCCACAAACACGTCGTACACCAACGCCTGAGCCCTATTCATCACTCTCATCACTACCTCTCTAACAAGCGCCTATAGCACTCGAACTATCCTTCTCACCCTAACAGGACAACCCCGTTTTCCAGCCCTAACAAACATCAACGAAAACAACCCCGCTCTACTAAACCCAATTAAACGCCTCACAATGGGCAGCATAATCACAGGATTTCTTATCACCAACAACATCCCCCCCACCTTACTCCCCCAACCAACAATACCCCTCTACTTAAAACTCTCAGCTCTATGCGCAACTGTCCTAGGCTTCCTAGCAGCCCTAGACCTCACCCTTATAACAAACAAACTGAAAATAAAAACCCCATCACAAATATTCAAATTCTCCAATATACTAGGATATTTTCCCACCACAATTCACCGCACAATCCCCTATCAAAACCTACTCATAAGCCAAAATTTAGCCCTTCTCCTATTGGATTCAGCATGACTAGAGAAATCTATACCTAAAATAATCTCACAAGCACACATTACTGCCTCCATAACTGTAACCACCCAAAAAGGCATAATCAAACTCTACTCCCTTTCTTTCCTCATCCCCCTTACCCTAGCCCTAATTCTAATGATATAACCTATTACCCCGAACAATCTCAATCACAACATACACACCAACAAATAATGTCCAACCAGCAACTACCACTAATCAACGCCCATAATCATATAAGGCACCCGCACCAATAGAATCACCTCGAATCAATCCTGACCCCTCCCCCTCAAAAATCACCCAATCACCAGTATCACTAAAACTAACCACCACTTCTACCGCCTCATCCAAACTTAAAACCCATAAAACTAATATCACCTCCATTATCAACCCTACTAAAAGACCCCCTAAAACCTCAAACCCCGAACCCCATGTCTCAGGATACTCTTCAATAGCCATTGCAGTAGTATAACCAAAAACAACCATCATACCCCCCAGATAAACTAAAAACATCATCAAACCCATATAAGCCCCCCCACAACTTAAAACAATCACACAACCAATCACACCACTAACAATTAACGCCAGACCCCCATAAATAGGAGAAGGCTTAGAAGAAAACCCCACAAACCCCATAACTAATAAAACACTCAATGCAAACAAAATATACGTCATTGCTTTCACATGGACTCCAACCATGACTAATGGTACGAAAAACCATCGTTGTATTTCAACTATAAAAGCACCAATGACTCCAATACGCAAATCCAACCCAATCCTAAAAATAATTAATCGCTCCTTCATCGATTTACCCGCCCCACCCAACCTCTCCATATGGTGAAACTTTGGCTCACTTCTTGCAGCCTGCCTAATTTTACAAATCATCACAGGCCTACTCCTAGCAATACACTACTCACCAGACACCTCCTCCGCCTTCTCCTCAATTGCACATATCACCCGAGATGTAAAGTACGGCTGAATCACTCGCTACCTCCACGCCAATGGTGCCTCTATACTCTTCATTTGCCTTTTCCTACACATCGGTCGGGGCCTTTACTACGGCTCATACCTCCTCCTAGAAACCTGAAACATTGGTATTATACTCCTTCTTATAACTATAACAACGGCTTTCATGGGTTATGTTCTCCCATGAGGCCAAATATCATTCTGGGGAGCAACAGTAATCACAAACCTGCTATCAGCAATCCCGTATATCGGAACCAATCTCGTCCAATGAATCTGAGGAGGATACGCCATCGACAGCCCTACTCTCACACGATTCTTCACCTTACACTTTATCCTACCCTTCATCATCATCGCCCTCACAACCGTGCACCTACTATTCCTGCACGAAACAGGATCAAACAACCCTTGCGGAATCTCCTCCGACTCAGACAAAATCGCCTTCCACCCCTACTACACAACCAAAGACATCCTGGGCCTAGTCCTCCTTCTCTTCATCCTAGCAACACTAACACTACTCTCACCCAACCTCCTAAACGACCCAGACAACTACATTCCAGCCGACCCATTAAACACTCCCCCACATATCAAACCAGAGTGATACTTCCTATTTGCATACACAATCCTACGATCCATCCCCAACAAACTGGGAGGCGTACTAGCACTCTTTCTATCGATCCTCATTCTAGCAGCCATCCCTATACTTCACAAATCCAAACAACAAAGCATAATATTCCGCCCACTCAGCCAATTTCTATTCTGACTCCTAATCACAATCCTATTGACCCTTACCTGAATTGGAAGCGAACCAGTAGTCCAACCCCTTACCACTATCGGCCAAGTAGCATCCATAATATACTTCATCACAATTCTAATCCTAATACCACTGGCCTCCCTAATCGAAAACAACCTACTCAAGTGAACTTGCCCTCGTAGTATAAATTAGTACACTGGCCTTGTAAACCAGAAATGAACACTCTTCCTAGGGCAGTCAGAAAGAAAGTACCTAACTCCACCACCAACACCCAAAGCTGGCATTCTAATTTAAACTACTTTCTGCATTCTTATATTGCATAAGCTTCATAAATAACTCTAGCACCAATCCACCCATAATACTACTATGTAATTCGTGCATTACTGCTAGCCAACATGTATAATATATAGTACTATATATGCTTAACTGTACATAACACATATTATTACATACCAACTTGACATTCCAAACAGCATGCTTACAAGCAAGTATCCTAATACAAACCTCAACAGTAACACATAACATGGTTCCCTCGGACTTAACTTGTCCCCCCTCATGAATATCAACTAAACCAGTCCTTGCCAGTCGTCCATAGTACATTAAATCGTTCATCGGACATAGCACATATCTATTAAATAATCCTCCTCACCACGGATGCTCCCCTTCACTTAGGAGTCCCTTACTCACCATCCTCCGTGAAATCAATATCCCGCACAAGAGTGCTACTCTCCTCGCTCCGGGCCCATAACTCGTGGGGGTAGCTATACCTGAACTGTATCCGGCATCTGGTTCTTACCTCAGGGCCATAACAATCAAGATCGCCCACACGTTCCCCTTAAATAAGACATCTCGATG